CCTTTTTTTCCCACAAATTGAGCTTTCTTTTGATGGTATTTGATCGCATGTGTGTTTTTTATTTTTTGCGCTATAAAAAGATAAGTCTGTCAATTTTGAAAAAAAAAAACAATATTTTTGACTTTTTGCTATTAAACATGTCCAATAACAAAAATGTAAAAAATCTAATTTCGGCATAAATTTACACCGAAATGTATTCTGTTACTTGTCTTTGCTAATATGTGTAAATTTATTGGTTTATGTGATAGTTATAGCGTTTACAAATGGTGGTATATATACTGGGATTTTTTTTTTTTGTTAACTAGTAATGGCGGCGTTCAGCAACTTATAGCGGGACATTCTGACATGGGAGGAACTGACTTGGTGTCACTGACATTTCCTAGTGACACCAATACAGTGATCAGTGCTAAAGGGGTTAACATGAGGGGCAATCAAAGGGTTAACTGTGTGCTGGGAGTTATTTACTAGGGGGCAGTGTCAGTGTGCTTCATTGTAATCACACTGCTGTGCTGTGCACAGCCATCCAAAGCAGTATGCCTGAGTTGACAGGAAGGAGAACTGTTAGTAAACAAAACAGTTCTCCTCCCCATCAGAGCCTGGACCTGGTGATTGACAGCTGTGGCCCCAGATGGAAGCGCAGGTAGAGCATACGCGTGGCTCTTGCACGTCCCCTACCCGGAAATGCTATATCATGTAATGGAGGTCAGTCTGGATAGGGTTTTGAAAAAAGAGAACTGCTATAACTCATGCCCTGACAGTGTTTCAGTGGTCGAGTCTCTGTGTAGAAGATGGAAGCAGGAGTAAAGCAATATGCTGGGTGTGTTTTTGGTGAGAAAGGTGGGCAAGAATGTGCCAGCCAGGAGGCATGATACAGCTACCTCATCTGCCTGACACTAATCTTATTACTTGTCCTTTTACTTGTATTATTAACCCGTTGACCTCTTGAAGGTTTTACCCCTTCAGGACCTGACCATTTTTGCTATTCAGCACTGCGCTACTTTAACTGGCAATTGCACAGTCATGCAACACTGTACACAAATTTAGGGGTTTAGGGGAAGTATTTGTACTACGAGGGGAGATTTGGGGGGAGAGTATTTACATTAGGAGTGGGGATTTTGGGGGATTTGTACTGGGGGGGGGGATTGGGGAGAGAATTTCTACTAGGAGGGGGAATTAAGGGGGAGGATTTGTACTAAGAAAGGGGATTGAAGGGGAGGATTTGTACTAAGAGGTGGTATTTGGGGGGAGGATTTGTACTAGGAGGGGGTTTAGGGGGGAGGATTTGTACTACAAGGGGAGATTTGGGGAGAGGATTTACACTAGGAGTGGGGATTTGTACTGGGGGGGTTTGGGAAGAGAATTTGTACTAGGATGGGGAATTTTGGGGGAGAGTTTGACCATGGAAGATTTGTAGGAAAGTGAGGGGGATTTGAACTGGAAGGTGGGATTGGGGGCAAAGATTTTTGCTGGGAGGAGGACTGGGACTGTAACGCTAGGGAATTTTTGCAATTTTGGGTAGAATTTGAGCTTGCTTAGGGGGTGAACTTGTTGCTTGGTGCTGTTTTTTTTGGAGGGAGAGGTGGAAGGTGGGGGTGCAGTTTGCTAGATGATCTTGTCCCGGCACTGCCCGTTTGCACACAAGATCTTCTCCTCCCCACATGACATCAGCTGAGATCAGATTCCCTATCACAATGTGTAGCTGGCTGCAGTTGCAGTTCTGACCTGTGAAATTCCCTGACTGGATTGGCAGCTGCAGTAGCCAGCTACACACTGTGTGGAGGGATACCGTTCTCAGCTATGTGCTGTGTGGGGAAGAAGAAATCTCTTAAGTACCCTGTCCTCACCTCTGCTGACCACTGTCTTCTGCCATACTGACCCCTGTACCCTGCCCTGCTAACCTCTGTTCTCTGTCCTGTTGAACCCTTTCCTCTGCCATGCTAAACACTGCACACTGACTAGATAACCCACTGTACACTGCCATACAAACTAATAGCCTCTCTACACTGTCCTACAAACTGCTGACCCAATCCTCTGCCATGCTGACCTCTTATACACTGCCCTGTCGACCTCGCATCCTCTGCCCCACTGACATTTTTCACTGCACCCCCAAATCAGAAAAGCTAGATCCAGCCCTGTAGCATTTAATTTTTTCTGTTAAATTAGAGTTTTCAGTTAAGCAGTATAAATACAAATAGAAGTCTGGCCAATCCCAGTTCTAAACAAATATTTCCTTGAAGATGGCAAATATTTATACTAGTATTTACCAACCACTTTGGTGAGTAGTGTGGTTGTCTAGAACCAAGTTATGTAGCAGCATGCTTTTTCCTCTGTCTTCTGTAAACTAAAAGCAGACCTGTGCAATTATGGCTGCAGGATAGGAAATAAAGTAGTTTGAACCATGACTACAGAAACAAAATTTCTAGCTTGAGCTTTAATCCTATTTACCTAAAAAAATAATGTGCTAAAAGGTACACGTGCTGCCTGTTTTTTTTTGGGGAACCCATCAGGGGGTACCCTGTTAGTAAGAAACTGACCTATCGGTTGAGATAAGCAAATGTTTCATTTGTTTTATGATATGCTATTTCATTTCACATCAGCAGATGAAGTTCTGTTCTCATTTTCACATGTTTTGCATGCTGTTTTACCTACTATGCTAAAAGAGCATGGTGAGTAAAGAGCTCAATAACTTTTTATAATTAGAGAAGAGAGATCTATAGAGAGATCTATACAGAGATATAGGCAACCAGCTTCTACTGTGCTCTCTCTATGAAAAACACATTCCTGCATCATGAGTACAGCTTGTATCAAACGTTTATTTGTAAAACAAAGAGTTTTATACAAATGGTAAAACACAGGTTTGACCTTCAGAGATGGAAACACCTGGTAATGTGTTCAGTCTGATACTGTTTCTGCCTAGAACTTACAGCCAAAGCTTACTTTCCTCCACTGATCACCAGCCTGTCGAGATGAGCAAGATGCACAAACAGGCTGTACGCATGCCAACCAGGTCCCTGCCACAAATGTATTTGCAATTCTTCTAGGAGTTATTATGCAATATGTGTTCTCCTCCCTCCTTCAGCCTGAGAGGACTACGTTTACAGCACTACTGAGGGTCAAGGACCAAAATGTCATCATCAGAGCTATTCAATACAATACGGAAAATGTTAGGATGGAATTAGTTGAAGGGGTCTCTAATTTTGTTTGCAAACTCCAGGAACCAGGCCAAAGACTTCACAATCTAGTGCATAAAACCAATAAAATTATTGATACTCTCAATTCCAACAAAGCTAAGAAGAAAAGCCCAGGAGCCATCAAACTACTATGACCCTTAGAATGGTCATACAAACAGAAGTTATTCAATAGGACAAAAGAGGTATAGCTATTAGTTATTTTATTGGTATAAAAAATACAAAAAAATTATGCACAATTGATTTTGAAAATGCTCTACAACCCTCCACTAAGTTAAAAATGACAACTTTGTCAGCAAAGGACATCCTAAAAATGTACGGACCATTCACACCGGAGTTCTATCTGATTGGCTACTTTCAGGCAAACTTAGATCATCTTACACATACACGTATATAAAATTCAACTTTTTTTTAGGTTTAGACAAAGGGGGAAAGGCTTTTTAAAATGTATGCGTAGTTTTTGAATCTACCTTTAACCCCACTGGGATTTTTTTCCCTAACTTTCTGTCCTTATGATGCCCATGCAAGAGATTAGGGGTGTGGTTGTCACCAGAAAAGGATGGCACAGACAGCAGTAAAAACATTGTCATAAATTCTGTATTGAACTTTGTTTTTATCACAGTTCACTGTGATTTTCCATCACTTTCTGTGATTTTCCCAAAAGGGACACAGAAAGTAGCAAAAATCGGATAGAAGTTCTCTTCCCCCAGCTCTATCTGAAACAAAATTAAAGTTTTGGCTGGAGTTGTGCTTTAATCATCATTTGTACTCTTCTAGAACATTACATTTTTATTGCCAAGTCATACACTCCAAAAGAAAAACACTTCATCTCTTTGGGAATTCTGAATTACCTGACATTTCTGTACTGTCAGGAATTCCGTGTATAGTGACTTGTGGGATCGCTGGTCATGTGGAAAAGAACAGTACTTGCAACTGGTTTGTGGAATTTTGAGGATGAGAGACCTATTTTTTCTTTATTTATCTGTAAATGCAGAAATTCCATCTTTCCCATAATTGTCTTGTATTAACTTGACTTAATTTTTCAAAGAATCTCTGAAATTCAGATTAATTTCTTCTCCATGCAACCAGCACGTCGTCAATGTACCTTTTCCATAGAGCCACATGCACCCCCACCATATTTAGCTCCCAAAAGCCAAGATGGAGGCATGCATATGCCGAGCACATGAGTCTCCCATTGCAACTTTCCGTATTTGCCTGTAGAACTTTCCATCAATTTGAAAAATATATTTTCAAAACAAATTTAACTACTAGCCTACAGGGCATTTATAACCCCTTCCTGCCCAGGCCAATTTCCAGCATTCAGTGCTGTCACACTTTGAATGACAATTGCACGGTCATGCAACACTGTGCCCATATGAAATTTTTATAATTTTTTTGTGACAGATAGAGCTTTATTTTGGTGGTATTTAATCACTTCTGGGTTTGTTATTTTTTTCTTAAACAAACCAAAAACCACAGAAAATTTTGAAAAAAAAAATTTTTCTTAGTTTTTGTTATAAAATTTTGTAAATAAGTGATTTTTTCTCCTTCACTGATGTGCGCTAATGAGGCTGCAGTGATGGGCACTGATAGACTGCACTGATGGACACTGATAGGTGGCACTGATGGGCACTGATGGGCACTGATGAGGAGGCACTGGTAGGTGGCATTGATGGGCATTGACAGTCATCACTGATGGGCACTGAAAGGCAGCACTCATATATGGCTCTGATAGGTGGCACTGATAGGCGGCACTGACTGGCACAGATAGGCGGCACTGACTGGCACTGTTAGGCGGCACTGATCGGCAGCACTGACGGGCACTGATAGGCGGCACTGATGCACACTGATAGGCGGCACTGACTGGCACTGATAGGTGGCACTAATAGGTGGCACTGACTGTGACACTGAAAGGTGCTCAGATGGGCACTGAGGGGTGGCATGTTGAAAGTGCAGCTCAGATAGGCACTGATATGTGGCATTGATGTGCACGGATGGGCACTGGTAGGTGGATATGATGGGCATTGATGTTGCACTGATGGACACTGACAGGTGGCACTGCTGGGGTACACAGATCATCAGGGCACACTGATCATCAGTGCTCTGATGATCTGTGTACATGTCCCCTCCGAGGAATGCCGATTACCAGCTCTCCTCTCGAGCTGTCAGCGTGACAGCTCGTGAGGAGAGAAATGACGATAATCGGCATTTCCCTATTTACATGCGATCAGCTGTGTTTGGACACAGCTGATCACATGACCGAGCTGACATCTTCGGCTCTTTCCGTTGATCAGTGATCCGCTGTGTCCGAGGGACACAGCGCACTACCGATCGCCACGCTGCGCGCTCCTGTAGAATGGGACGACGTCATATGACGTCCTCCCAGAACGAGAGACATGCCCTGCGCCCATCATTGTACTATATGGCAGGCGGGAGGCAGTTAAACAAATCTATCACAAGTTTATTTTGCTCCTCTGCCTTGGGACAATATCTCTTAGCTTATTCACCTGTGTCTAAACCTACCTTATACCCCGGTCACATCGGTGTGTGATTTGGCATGCAATTTACATGCCATGCGACTTGCAAATCGTATGCCAAGTCGCACCCTATTGTCCGCTATTAGAGCGGTCATATCGGTGTGTTTCCAACTTGGTTGGAGCCGCACCGATTTCTAAAGTAATGCATGCACTACTTTTGTTGTGCTATGCATAGACATCTGTGTCAGATGTCTTGCAAATCACAACTGAAATCGGCAGGTCACCCGATTTTGAAATCGTGCGACTTCACTGTGTAAATTTCAAACATGGCTTTGATGTGACCAGGGGCTAATGAGGTATCAATGCCCATACTGTAGCAACATCAACAGAGACCAATAAATGATCTTCTCCAATCTTATTACATTCAAAATGATTTGAACATCTTTATTGTCCTGAATATATGATGGCAGTGAACTATCAATTCTTTAAGAATGTTGTCTACATATTCACAAGTATAGTGATTGGTACTACTATTGCAAAAATAATTGGGCAACCTGGAGGGGTCTTCTTTTTGTGTATCTTTGGGAGCATATAAAAAAGGTGGAATTTTTAAATAGTTTTTAACCTTTGTATACTCATATTCCTCCTTTTTAAAGACATCTTCCATGTATGCCCAATCAAGACAAGTTTATTCTTTCTATGTATTCCAGAAAGAGGTTCTCAGGAATTTTTTTTATAGCAATCAGTATCAAACAACTGACATTTTATTTCCTGAGCATGCTATTTTTCTGTTGATTAAACAATATTTACCTCCTATCACTTGCTTTGACAATTATATATTTGGGGGGGTTTCTCTATGTCTTCTTTGTTGTTAGTAACTGAAAAACAAACGATTGCTTCTTTTAAATCCTAATAGAAACTTGCCAGTATGTTGTCTTCTTTACGTCACATATCAGTTAAAATATTTAAGTATATAAATTACTTTAAATTTGTATAGCTTCATTATATTAAATATAGCTTCACTCATCAGCTGTCCTAAGTTTCATGTTTAAAGTAGAGTTATAGGCAAAAACCTTTTTTTTTTTCATTTTGGATAGAATAAAGAAACACTTTACTCTTTCCAAACCCTGTCAGAATTAATTCGCCATCTGTGTCCCTTTGCAGAGATTTTCCTACATTTCCTGTCTCATAGTCAAACAGGAAGTGAGAGGAATCCCCTGCAAATTAAAAGAATCCCTTGAGGACCCCCAGTTCACCAGAACTTGTGTCCCCATTGGAAGATTTGCCCTCTATTACTTTTCTGGGTACAAGCAAAAATTTGGAATTATCTTTACTTTCACTTTATTATTATTATTATTATACAGTATTTATAAAGCGCCAATAGTTCGCTCAGCGCTGTACATTACAAAGGGAGACAGAACATGTGACAGAACAATACCAATACAATGCGATACATGAGGGGATCGAGGGCCCTGCTCTTTCAAGCTTACAATCTAGGAGGGAGGGGATGGTGGCACAGGAGGAGATAGCTGTGGGGGATGGAGTGGTAGGAAGAGTGGAGGAGGTCGGCAAGTTAGCAGGGGGTGGGGTAGGCTTCCCTGAAGAGATGGGTTTTCAGGGTGCGCCTAAAGGAGAGGAGAGTAGGTGATAATCTGATGGGTTGGGGCAGGGAGTTCCAGAGGATGGGTGACACCCTGGAGAAGTCCTGGAGGCGGGCATGGGAGGAGGAGACCAGGGAACTAGAGAGAAGGAGGTCTTGTGAGGAGCGGAGTGTGCGTGCTGGGCGGTACTTGGATATTAGGTCAGAGATGTAGTACGGGGCAGTATGGTGGACAGCTTTGTACGTCAGCGTTAGGATTTTGAATTTGATCCGTTGCGCAATCGGAAGCCAGTGGAGGGATTGGCAGAGGGGGGTGGCGGAGACGGAGCGGTTGAAAAGGTGAATGAGTCTGGCAGCCGTATTCAGGATCGACTGAAGCGGGGATAGCCAGCGGCGAGGCAGGCCAGTGAGGAGGGAGTTGCAGTAGTCGAGTCGTGATATGATGAGGGAGTGGATGAGCTGTTTAGTGGTTTCTGGGGTTAGGAACGTGCGGATTTTGGCGATGTTGCGGAGGTGGAGTCTGCACGAGTTTGTTAAAGATTGGACTTGGGGCTGGAAGGATAGGTTGGAGTCCAGAATGACACCCAGTACTCTGGCCTGCAGGGCGGGTTTGATGGTAGCGTTGTTGGATGTGACGGAGAAATCAATGGGGGGTGGTGTCCGGGCTGGGGGGAAGACAAGAAACTCGGTTTTTGAGAGGTTCAATTTAAGGAAGTGGAGCGACATCCAGTCTGATATGTCACTCAGTAGGTGTGTGATTCGGGCTGAGACCAAGGGGGTGAGGTGGGGGGTTGAGAGATAGATTTGTGTGTCGTCGGCATAGAGGTGGTAGTTGAAGCCGTGAGAGTGTATGAGTTGGCCAAGGGAGGAGGTATAGATGGAGAAGAGAAGGGGTCCGAGGACAGAGCCTTGAGGGACCCCAGCAGAGAGGGGGAGTGAGGGGGAGGTGGTAGCATTATAGGTAACGCTGAAGGAGCGTTGTGACAGGTAGGATGAGAGCCAGGAGAGAGCAGAATCTCTGAGGCCGAGGGAGTGTAGTTTTTTGAGGAGGAGGGGGTGGTTGACTGTGTCGAAGGCCGCAGAGAGGTCAAGGAGTAGGAGCACTGAATAATGGCCATTAGCTTTGGCGGTTAGCAGGTCGTTGGAGAGTTTGAGTAAGGCAGTTTCGGTGGAGTGTAGGGGACAGAAGCCGGACTGTAGGGGATCGAGGAGGTTGTTGTCGTTGAGGTGAGAGCATAGGCGGGTGTAGACTAGGCGCTCGAGGAGTTTAGATGTAAATGGGAGCAGGGAGATGGGTCTGAGGTTGTTCGGGTCATTGGGGTCATTTTCAATGAAAATGGTAAACAGGACAAATAAAGAGGGTAAATCTCTATCTACTCTATCCAAAACTAAAAAAAGTGTTAGCTTTAGTTTACTTTAAACAGAATATTCTTTCTTTGGGAATAGTTATGAATTATTCTAAAACTAAACAAATCACATAAGAAGTCTTTAGGCCAAAAAATGATTTGTGAAAACAAGTGAAACTGAAAAAATGGTACTCTTTTTTATTTCAGCCAATAATACAAATTAATTTCAAAATTAACCAAACTTTTAGTTTAAATATCAGTTAAATACATTTTAGGCTCATCAAAACAAAAGGTGTGCATTGTAATATGGTTCATTTTCTTTTGAGGTAGCCGCAGCCTGATTAGAAACACTCATAAGTAGGTTGCAGAGAAGGATGCTTCTGCTCCAACACACCACCTGCTGAGTCAGCCCTCTAGCTCAGCAATCAATAAAGCTCATCCTCCCACCTGATTGGAAAGTTCTATCTCTGACTCAGAAGGGGAATGTTAGATCTGTGCAGTTGAGCTTTAATTTAAAACCTGACAACAGTCAAAACTATTTTTTTTTTTTTAGTTTTGGTAGACAAGGGAAAAGTGAATGCTACTGACAAAGATTCAAAGTTCAAACACTTTCCCATTTTCCTGAAAACATGTATTTTTGTTGCAGCCTTGTTTCTACTGAAGAGATCTCCCCTTACTTCCTGTCTAAGCAAGAAGTAAAAGGAAATTTCCCAAATGGGAACACAGAAAATAATGGAAATATGGTAGATGTTCTATACATCCCCCCACCTTATAACCACCCCGAGGAGCTCCCAAATATTTGGTCTGGAACATACAGCATATTACTTTCCTCAGAAGATTATGTAAAATGCTAATTTGATCCATGTTATTTCCTATTTCCATTCTGCTATCTTTGTTTTACATATTTCTGGACTGTAGTTATATTGGATGAAGTAATATTGTTTAGACATTCTTTCCTAGGTTTTCTCATTATGACAGATCCAAGGACATGTTTACTGGGACCATTCCAACTAACAATATTTTAAGCTACTAAAAAATAAGTGTTGCTGTTACATATACAGTTGCAAGAAAAAGTATGTGAACCCCTTGGGATTACATGGAGTTTTGCATGAAATTGGGCATAAAATGGCTCTGAACGTCATCTAAGTCACAGCAATAGAAGAACACAGTCTGCTGAACATAATACTACTACACAAACATTAGATGTTACCATGGTTTAATTGCACATAACATGTAAACATTCACAGTGCAGGGAGGAAAAAGTATGTGAGGCCCCTAGCTTAATGACTTCTCCCAGAGCTAATTGGAGCCAGGAGTGAGCCAACCTTGACTCCAATCAGTGTGATGATATTGGATGTGTTGCTGACAGCTGTCCCTGCCCTTAAAAAACACACACCTGTTTTGGGTTTACTGGTTTCAAGAAGCCCTGTCTGATGTGAACCATGCCTCGAAGAAAAGAGCTCTCAGAAGACCTACCATCAAGAATTGTTGACTTGCATGAAGCTGGAAAGGGTTACAAAAGTATCTCCAAAAGCCTTGATGTTCATGTGTCCACGGTAAGACAGACTGTCTACAAATAGAGAAAGTAATTAGCACTGTTGCTACTCTCCCTAGGCGTGGTCGTCCTGTAAAAATGACTGCAAGAGCACAGCGCAGAATGCTGCATGAGGTAAAGTAGAATCCCAGAGTGTCAGCTAAAGACCTACAGAAATCTCTGGCACATGCTAACAT